ATCCATGACATGTTTATGACTGTGTGTTTTATTGCCAATATGTATCAGATCCTTCAAGATTCAGGCTCACGCATCAGACAACTTTTGTAAGAACACACAACAGCTTTTGGACAAGGATCCCATTCTTCTTTTATGTGGTAAGCACTAGAAATTTTGGATGAATTATTGAAAGTGAGTAGATATCATTTAATGTAAATCTTTCCAGTTTTGATTTAGTGCTTAAGCATATATCATCAGAAAGAGAGTTGAATTAATCTGTTTTTTTTTTTTAAAATGCACACAAAGAATTAATCAAAATATTACTCCCTCAATCTCAGCTCAGGATATTATAGATGAGGAGCAGAGAGATTAAGGAGGGAGAAAAGTAGATAGGAAAAATGGGTAAATGTAGAAAATTCACTTCATTTGTTACCCTGAGTTGGGAGTCTTGGGATGAAGAAAATATATTCTTCAATATTTCTTCCTTCCATGCTGTCAGTCACAATGTGTAAGAGCATTCATGAATCATGATTGAGATTTAGCCTTTTCTGATCTGATGCCTGTGCATGTGGAATACTCTCTGGCCCTTTGCTTCTGAATAATCATTCACTTGCCTTTGCATAGAGTTAGTTGGACCATTTGTTGAGTTTTGTTTTTCCTTTCTTTGTTGTTGTTGTAAATTTAGATGTGATAAGAGTTTGTAGGGTATTGTAATCATTATTGTGGATGAAATTGTAATGTAAAAAGAGATAGTGAGTCCAAAGGAGTGGAAAGTACCAAGAAATATAAAGTATTAGCAGTTCTTTTCTTTAATCAGGTGTTGCAATTCTGGGACGGAGGGAATAATACAGATTCTAAGGCAAAAGTATGTTAAAGGGTGAAGAAAAGTTGGAAAGTATTTTTTGAAAATCATATGCTTTAATATTTTCCTCAAGTATCCTAGCTTATAGAGGATTGTAGTTGCAGAATAAGTGAGTGAGATGTTCAAAAGGAAGATTAAAACTTCAATAGGAGGATTTTGTAAATGTTTGCTTAGCTGAAAGTCGAGGACCTGTTATGTTCCTCTTGTTCATCGTATTATTGCTACATTAATCAGCCATTTACCACGAGGTCATACCTTAACTACTAGCACTGTAATTTCTCCTTTCATAATCTTGCAGGGATGTTTTTTTCGCCAATTCTACAGATCAGTTGCTAGGTCTGATTACATGACATTAAGAAATGGATTCATAACCGTGAGTGCCTCTTAATATTTTATTGATTGGAGCTGTTTTACTCTCATTCATATATAATCTTCCTTGCCTAATTCTGATTTCTGCTTGGTATGGCTTTTAGGCTCATATAGCTCCAGGAAGTCAATTCAACTTCCAGAAGTATATCAAAAAGTCATTGGAAGATGATTTTATAGTGGTTGTTGGTGTCAGGTGAAGTTTCACATATGGAGCAATTGATATGTGTAGTACAGATTTAAACCATCATTTATCATTTAACACCAAATTTAAATCTTTTTACATTTTTTTTAAAATTTATGTTATTTGCAGTCCACTTTTATGGGCATCTTTTGTGATTTTCTTGCTTCTAAATGTCAAAGGTGAGCCACTATTCTTTATTCAATTCTCTATGTATCTTGTCTAGAGGCCACAATTCAAGGACGGAGCTACTATTGATTTTTTATCTGCTTACTGATTACTGTAACTCGTTACTCTTCTTCCACTGGTGCTGTTGCATTCCCAGGGTGGCACACACTTTTCTGGGCTTCTATACTTCCACTGTTGGTAAGACATTGTTTTCAGAAATGAATTGTGAAATTGTATCAGAGGAACTTTCTAAGACTACAGTTTGCATTAGGTTATATTAGCTGTTGGAACAAAGCTGCAAGCCATTCTGACAAGGATGGCTTTGGAAATCAAAGAGAGGCATGCTGTGGTCCAAGGGATTCCTCTTGTGCAAGGTTCAGATGAATACTTTTGGTTCTCGCGGCCTCAATTTATTCTTCATCTCCTCCATTTTACTCTGTTTCAGGTATAAACTATGTCTTGGTGTTTTATCACACTACGTATCCTATGAAGCATATTGAATTTTGCTTTTCAATGGAAGTCTTTATTACAAAATTTCGGATGTCATTGTCGATGATGACGTTATTATACATCAACAACTCAAAATGTAGGCTGAACTTCAGGATATGCATGTCCATTCGATCAAAAGACTCTCCTGTCTTTTGTCTCACGTTTTCTGTAGTGTGGATTATGATTATTATTGGATTGACAAATACAAGTTCACTGCATTACTGTTGACAAGAGTAATGTGCCAAATGGGTTGGTCTTATTTTTCGGGTTTGAAGTGTATATGTATACCAATTTAAAATGTGGCTTTCAAGTTCTTGAGTATTAAATTGCAGTGTTTGGGTGTTGAATCGTTTTATGCTCAAAATTTTTGCCAGTGGGTTGAATTTTGTTCAGGTTGGTCAGTCTCATAGGCTATGTTTGGATAACAAAAAATGGAAGGAAAGGAAGGGAAGGGAAAGGGAGGGAGACAAACTTCCTTGTTTGGATAATATGTTGGGGGAGGAAAGGGGAGGGGGAGGGAGGGATCCATTTTCCCTCCTCCTTTAATAAAGACCATCCCTTCAAAATTAGAGAGATTTGGAGGGAAAATGGAGCTCATCATTTCCTTCACTTTCCCTTCCTTTCCCTCCCTTCTATTTCCCTCCCTTCCATTTCCCTTTGAATTTGTTATCCAAACATAGCATTAGAATAACTTTTCACAGGTTTTCAAGATTCACGGTTTGTTTGGGTAATGTTAAAGGAAGGAAAAGAAAGGGAGGGAGGTGAACGAGAGGGAAGGGGAAGGAAGATGGATGAGTTTTCCTTCCAAATCTCTCCATTGTTGGAGGGATCATTTTCTTTGAATTAAATCCCTCCATTTCTCTCCCTTCTAATTCCCTTCATCCCTATTTTTTCATCCAAATGAAAGAAACTCCCTCCCTCCATTTCCCTTCCCTCCATTTCCTTCAATCCAAACACACTATTAAAGTTAATTTGGGGTGGGTTGCTGGCAGGCCAGTGTTTGACAGTTCTAAATAAGACAAGAGGCTTGTGCATTGCTTAGCCACTAATCGCATCTAAAACCCTATATCAAGTTCCTGTCATGATTTTAACTCCACCAACCTCATTAAGATCCTCACCAAAAAAAAAAAAAAAAAAAAAAAAAAAAATCAAAGAAAAACTTGACAAATGTTAAGAGACAAACGTGATATAGCTTTGTGATATCAAATTATGGTAGATTATTTTCTTTAGCATTGCTTCTCATACGATTTTATAAATCGTAAATTGCTACTTTAAATCTGTTGAGCATTTAAAACTTGTTTTTGCATGGAAATTGTTTATCTGACGAGGACATATTCTGCCTTTTGGTTTCATATTCTGCAGAATGCCTTCCAGATAACATACTTCCTGTGGATACTGGTAATAATTTAATATCCTTTGAAATATTACTCGACCCAAATATACCAAATTTCAAAATATTATAATGAAATGCTGATTTTTTTCCCCTTTCTTTTTGGTTGTAGTATGAATTCGGATTGAAGTCCTGTTTCCATGATAGACACATCTTTGTGCTTATTAAAATAATTATCGGGTAATGTCTCCATAAATTCTGGTAATTCCGCATGAAAATCTTCATTTGTCATTTGTGTTGCATCATCTTCTCTCTTTGGATTAATGGAGTATAACTTGGGATTATAGGATTGGTGCTATGGTTCTTTGCAGTTATAGTACTCTGCCACTCTATGCTCTTGTGACCCAGGTATCATCATACTTTCTTTTGCTTATCACTTCCTCTTGAACAACCAAAATCAAAGCTTTAAGTCACTTAAGCTTCGTTATAATCTAAATCTAACACAAATGAGCCCGAAAGTTAGTGTGACTATGATTGATTGATTTTTGGCAAGATTATGTACAATAGGAGTATGATCCGATTTAAATAGACCCAAACCTTACAACCTGTAATGATTTATTACCCACATGTGAGCAAATTTGATGCGAAAAATTGGTTTTCCCTTCTCTATTTAAGGTTTCTCTACTCTACATTACTCTTTATTTCATCCTAAAATGTCTAGTTTCACTCATCAAAAATTTAGTAAAGACCTGACAATTGGATATATCTTTATCTTTAATTTACATTAGTTGTCAGTTCTTAGTAGCTATCTTCAAGTCTGAAAATCATAGTTAATGTTAGATTTTAGAACAGCCTCAAGAATGAAACTTGGTGATGAAAACTTTGACAGATGGGATCAAACTTGAAGAAGTCCATCTTTGATGAGCAAACTTCCAAAGCTCTTACGAAATGGCACATGGGAGTTAAGAGGAAGCAAGAGCATACCACAGAGAAGTCTCCTTCTACCCAAACCCTGGGAGGAAGCCCAAAGAGCATAAGCAATTCCAAGAGACGGCACTCATCTGGCCCCATCCTACACCGATTCATGACAACAGGCCACTCAACTCATTTGCCATCCTATGTTGAGCTTCATGTGACGGATGGTGAAGGTGATGAGATAAGTAAGGTTGATGATAATCACGGGGAGAGTGAAATGGCTTTATTGTCTACTAGGAAGGAAATTAAGCAAGGAGATGACCTGTTTGGCACGCCCAGCCAGAATTGACAGTTGCTAGCGTTGAAGTTAGTTGATTGCTACCCATGTAAACAGCCTACACAGGTATTATAGACTAATTTTTCCTTTTAGATAGGTTGGTTTTATTAAGGCCATATACGAAGTAATGCTTACGAGGTTTGTTTAGTAGTAGGGCACTTCAGTCTTCACTCTTCAGAAAGGTGAAAGGAAGAACTCGAATTGTACTAGCGTTTCTTGTACATCTTTACATACTATTGATTACATAATGAAGCAGTACATAGTTGCATTCCCTTGTGATATATTCACTCTTTTTTTTTTTAATTATTTTTTTTTGGACGTGAAAGTTTGGCTGAGTTTGATTTGACACTGTAACCTTAAATTTTTATCTAGTGTACCACTTTGAAAACTTGCAGAGTAGCAGTGGTAACAGAATTCTCTCTTCTGAGAGATCTTATTTTATGAACAGTATATATACTACTTGTATGATATTATAGAGTAAGATGCAAAATTAAGGTAAGAAATCAGCTTCTTGCTGTTGAAACACCACAGATACACCGGTCCTGCAGGTCTGGCACTGGCCAACAACAACCAGCGTTTGACGGCAGGAAGGGCAGCTGGAGGAATGGGACCCAATCAACCACGTGTCAATACATTCAACATGGAACACGTGGGAACATCCTGGGAATTCCCTAACCTCCTCTCCTTCCACAAACTCAGCCAAACAAATCACACACTCTGCTGCTGCTTTATCATTCTCACTTGTAGCCGCATCAGCAGCAGCTATTGGACTGCCAGACTTGAAGACCTTTCTAGGGAGCGAGTCAATGATCTCCCTCTTCAAGCATTTGTTGGGAACCACTTCAACAGTATTCCCCCGCGTAGTAGGAAGCTGAGGGCAGGGCCACACGCAGTGGGTTACTGCCATGAGTCCCATTACACAAATGAGGGCACAGAGAATGCAGGTTATGATGATCAGCATGTTCGAGTTTACTGAGAATGCTGCTTTTGATGTATTGAGGTGTGAGAATTTTCTATTGATAATAGTTTCCATAAATTGCAAGGCGATACTTTGGAGCAATGACTGTATGTCTATATATAGGAGTAGGGCAGTGGATCAAGTGAAGTTAGCTTTTTTGAGGATTTTATTTTTAAGGAAAATAAAAATATAAAAACATTTACATCCTAATTATTCTGAGGTTCAGTCAACTTTTAGGACTTATGTCGTTTATATTCAGCATCCTTGACTGTTTTTTGTTGGTGCTTTTTGGTTGCTTGAAAGAGTATGACCAAAAGTTGAAAGGCGAAATTCGGAAATTGTTTTACATTTCAAATATTTATGGAAAATATAATTAGACTAACTTTAAAACTTCAGCGCGTCTTGTGTGCGGCTAGCTACACCACATGACCGCTTGTAAAAAAACAAAATAATCCCTATAACACTGATCGAGTAACCTTTATAATACTAATCGAGTAACTGCTATAACACTGACTGAGTATGAATAGCGATATATAAGAAATTTTTATAAGTGAAACATTAATAAAAACCAACAATTTTTTAATTTATTATTTATTTATTTATTTTAAGTTTAGTACTTAAACTCTTACACTCCATACTTTGCTAGGGACTGTTTAAGTTATTTAAATGTAGTATAGAAATATTCATATATATTATACACTCCTGTGTTCTTATAAAGTACTTGCTTTTGTCCTTTCATAATTTTTCACATTATTCTTCTATCATTGACTATGTTTTGTGATTTATATATAGCAAAATTTTAGTTACATAAGATTTTGTTAGATTCATTTAAAATACTTTGTTGAATATCAACTTTCTAATTTTTGCTTATCTTATATACCAATAATATATACTTTTTAACGAAAATGCTTCTAAAATAAGTTAAGTATTTAATAAATAAATAAATAAATAAATAGATGGCACAATTGATAATTGCAAATTAAGCTTACAATTGATAAATTATTTCACTTTCCTATCAAAATTGTGAACTCATAATAGGACAATATACACCAAGTGAGTAGTACTTTGTAAGTGATAATATCATCCACCAACTCATATTAAGTTGGGAGCAGTTTTCATCTTTGATTTTCAACCTACCCTTTTCTTTCTTTTTTTAGGTATTTTTGACTGAATACCACTTTTGGTCTTTTATTTATGTTTCATCACAACAAACGAGAGACACGTCCTCCATGTTCGTCCATATTCATTTTATATGAAATGGTAATATCGTTGTCAACTTTCATCCACTTTTCTCTACAATAATTGTAATAAAAATCAAAAGTAAGATTAAGAGCAAAAAGAAAACAGAGAAAGAGGTATGAATCCCATGCATGAAATTTTCACGTGACAATAATGAACGTAGAACTTAATTTAACGCAGCCTCATTCTTATGTCATGCAATGATGCAACTCTCATTTAGGTGCATATATATATGCCCGTACTCTATGGTCTTGAGAGAAAATTAATCTAACCTTATGCATCTTTCCGTTCTTAATATATTATGCTCGTACTACATCTTTAGTAATTCAAAAAGAGCGTCACATTATTAATTTATTACTCTTCAAACATTAAGAACAATAATTAATTTAGATGTTTTCTGTCCAAAATATTAGCTGTCCAAATTCGGTTCAGATTGATTTGGATTAGACCAAGTAGAAATGCCAGAAATATTAGCCGTTGAAAAATTCTTAATTAGCAAGCTATGGTGGAATGCAAAACTATCAAGTGATTGCTTCTTAGAGGTTAAAATTTAGCTGTCAAGTGATTGCAAAACTAGGTTTAAAGATCATATAGAGCTGTCAATTCGGGTAAACAGGTCGGGTAAGAGTGGGTCGGGTCAACTCGGGTCGGGTCGGGTCCATTCAGATTAACTTCATAACCTATGCGGGTCGGGTTTGGGTTGGGTCATGCTTGAGTCGGGACACATCGGGTCATACTTCTTATCGGGTTTGGGTCGGGTTAATAACAGGTCGGGTTACATTCGGGTCGGGTGAACAATAGGTCGGGTTGAATTCGGGTTTTTACGGTTAAAACGGGTTAAGGTAATTCTCGGATTCGAGTCGAGTTTGGTTCAAGTCAATAATTTGCGGGTGAGAATCAGGTTGGGTCATTCTCGGGTTTAGTTCAAGTCAATAATTTGCGGATTATAATCAGGTAGGGTCATTTTCAAGTCGGGAATTCAAGTCGGGTTCGGTTCAAATCAATAATTTGCGGGTTATAATCAGGTTGGGTCATTTCCAAGTCAGGACATTCTCGGATTCAAATCGGGTTATGTTCAATTAATAATTTGCAAGTTACAATCAAGTCGGGTCATTTCCAAGTCAGGTCATATTCGAGTTCAACTAACTATAAATAGATAATTATCATTTTTATTAAGTTAATTATTTCCTTTGACTATAATATATATGGCAATATACTCGGGAACTACAATCTATAATTTTAGAAGATAATTATCTCCTTTGACCATACAACAAATATATACTATATTTAACTCTTAAATTTGAGGATGATGCTCCTTTCTTTTGCTGGCCTGGACCGACTTGGTCTCCCAAGACAAAATGCTTTGATCAACAATAATACGGTGGTCTAAATTGTATTTAAGGTGATTTGAAATCGGGTCAGGAACAATTTGGGTTGAATTTAGGTCGAGTCAATAACAAGTCGTGATAATTTCAAATCGGATTAGTAACAGATCAGGTTGAATTTTTAGGTTGGGTAAGTAATAGGTATGGTAAAATTTGTGTCCGGTCAATAACAAGTCGGGTTGATTTCGGGTCGGGTTTGTAACAAGTTAGGTTAAATTCGGGTCGGGATGAATTCAAGTCAGGTTAGTAAAAAGTCGGTTTAAATTCAGGTTTTGAGGGGTTAAAACGGATTTAGGTCCATTTCGGTTCAAGTCGAGTTCGGTGAAAGTTAAATAAATTGGCCGTTCTAAACTGATAAATTGGTGCAAGTTGTAAACCGGTAAATTAGCCGTTTAAAAGCAAATTGAATGGTTCAACACTCCCAATTGGACTCTCGAAGGATATTAGGGACCATGGTAAACATTTCGGCAATTTTTATATCTGGGCGAAAAAAAGTCTAAAAATTCCAAAATTGAAGTCTAATATCCACGCTTTTTGAAAAATTTTGGAGGTTTCGGGGCCTAGTGGCAAAAAATCTTGAAATTCTATGGGATACATCACGGGGTCATATAATGCCTTTTGGAAACATATATGATCATTATTTGTTGTCATAAATGTCTGTGGTAGGCTTGAATTAATGAAATCGGTGCAAGTTGTAAACAGGTAAATTGGTCGTTTAAAGGCAAATTGGATGGTTTCACCCACCCAATTGGACTACCAAAGGGTATTAGGGACCATAGTAAACATTTTGGCAATTTTTATTTCTGGGCGAAAAAAATAAAAAAAATTCAAAATTGAAGGCTTAATATCCACGCTTTTTGAGAAATTTTTGAGATTTCGGGGACCGGTGTAGAAAAGTATTAATATTTTAGGGGATACTTCTTGGGGTCATATAGTTACATTTAAAACCATATGTGATCATTATATGTTGTCATAAATGTTCGTAGTAGACTTGAGTTAATGAAATCCGTGCAAGTTTTAAACCGGTAATTAAACTGGTTGTTTAAAGGAAAATTGGATGGTTCCATGATGGGCGTTAGAACGGTCGTACATTCCACATTCAATCAAACACATTTATTAACAAACACCTTACAAACCAAGCATAATGACAAGTAAGAGTTCGGTCCACAAGGAACGGGATATGATTGCCAAAGATCTTTACACTTAAGCTAACTCGAAGTCAATTGGTGAATTGGGGTTCGTCAAGAAGAGAAACAAACTATGGTTCTAAATCAATGAATTAAAGATACTAGGGAATGAGATCCACTCAACCAAGGCAAATAGGCAAACTGGGAGTAAAATAGACAAGATATAGCAAGGACTATATGTAAAATCAACCTCATGCAATTAGAAAACAACTCACACTACTAAACTTAGATTCCTCATTAGTTTAGCAATAGATGATACATAATCAAATTACAATAAGTAATGACGTACTCAATTTACACTTCCATGTCAAATTAGGCATATCATACTATCAAGCTCCTTAGTCAAGGGTAGCTAAACCTATCATGGGGAACTAACAAGCAATCTCATATAATCAATTTAATTGCAATACAAACATCAATGCTTCTCCCACATTTGCATAGTTAACCCAAAAGGTCGAGCTTCACCCAACCCCTAGCAAGAAGACTACTCACAACTCATGTTTATCAACATGCAATCAAGAATTAGGGTTCTAAATACTTCAATAATTGGGGAAAAGTGGTTAACAATTGAAATAACTATCATCCAATAACAAATTACCAAGAACTAAGAAGATTTAAATAACATGCAAATACCAAATAAAATCTGAAATTAAAAGGAAGAAGGTTGGAGAAAGTACTAATTGAAGCTTCAAATGTTGAATACAAATTGCCAAACTTTGAGAATAATTCTTGAATTTCACTAATACAATGATTTGATTTGTTGAAAACTAAGCTAAATTAATCCTAAGGAATGTTTCAAACTAAGAGAGGTTTCTGAAAACTAGGCTACTGTACCCCCCTTCTAAATGAGCTAAAGGGGAAGTATTTATACTCCCCGAAACACATAGGGAAATCCGTCAAAAGAAAACGGATTCCCAGCGAGGAGCGCCCGCTCCGCAATGAAGAGCGCCCGCTCCTAAGCTGGGAGCGCCCGCTCCTTTCGGCTGCACGCCCTCTCCAGAATGCTTCAATGAAGGATCAGATTTGAAAGTGTCAGGGAGGAGCGCCCGCTCCATGAGAGGTGCACGCCCGCTCCCCTGGAGCGCCCTCTCCAATCTTCAATCCTCTTGTCTTAAACACGATTCATGCACCGAAAGCCTGCCTAATTGAGTCCATAGACCTGCAAAACATGGACAAACACAAACCAAGAGGGGGGGAAAGCCGAGACAAAACATTTTCATTCAAAATTGGGTTAGAAAGAGGGGAAATGATCGCAAAATCGGGTTTAAATTTACACAATAAGTGGTCAAATAAACCACTTATCATTCCACCAACCCAATTGGACTCCCGGACGGTATTAAGGACCATGGTAAACATTTCGGCAATTTTTATTTTCGGGCGAAAAAAAAGTCAAAAAATTCCAAAATTGAATACTAATTATCCACGCTTTTTGAGAAATTTAGGAGGGGCCCGGTGTCAAAAAGTCTTGAAATTCTAGGGGAT